AAGTTATTACATACGGAGTATTTGCATATCTACTCTCACGGACTCGGGTTGCGTGTAAATCGCCGCATCGAGCTTGCTCATCTTCCCCTACAACTTCTGCCGACCATCGGATCCTGTCACCGTCGTCTAACCCTCTTCCCTGGAGCGCGTTGCGCGTATCACAGCAACAGCATCTTAGCGCTACAGAGCGCGCACTGACCTGAAACATTTCTCCTCTTCTCCTCAAAACCATGCCAAATGCATGCAGACTGCACGAAGACCTGCATCCTGCTTCCTGCACGTCAACTACTGGCATCTTCCTGCGAAACGTCAAGCGAGTGGATTATGAGGCAATGTACCCAAAATCCCATACTAATAACAAACAAAGAGGATCAGAAAGTGCATGCGTATGGGTTCACAAACACGTTGCAAACGGTTTCAGCTCTTCGGTGCTTCAGTGAAGTTTTTGTTTTTATTATGCGAACCGATGCTCCAGTAAGGCCAGTGCCAAGCTTTTCACTAAGACATACCTCTACAGGTACAAACAACCTCACGAACTATTACTGCTCTAGCCAAATTCAGGCCACCGGACAGCATCATCTTGTGTGCTCATCGTCTTTGACGGACGTGCTCTATCCGTTTCGTTGTTCCAAACCATTTCCATCTGCAGAGAAAGCAATTCTTATTGAAAGTGATAACTCATTTGCGTGCTGTGACGAAATGCGACAGCTGGCCTTTTGTGGTTCTTCTAGTTCAGCGATCCATTGTGCTCTGATTAGTGTGCATATATACCTCACCAATTATCACCGTATCGCCCTCCTTAATTCCCTGTTTACTAAGAGCTCTGTTGACACCACATGCCTCTAGGGCATGCTGAAATCTTTTCAAGGAATCCGAGTACCTTCATCAGGAGACGACGTTACAAGATGTGTAGTGTAGTGGCACCAACAATTAGCGCTGCAAAAAAACTACTTACTGCCAGTTAGTCATCTGAACAAAACGCTCGATTCCAGCTCCAACAACATTCCATGTATTTGTACCCTTGTCATGGAAAACCTCAAACTCATTCATGGGTGCACGTCTTTCCTTTTTAATCGCATCAGACAAGTGGTTCAGATTTTCTGGCCCACTCCATCCTGCAGCAGTATATAGTTTCAAGATGAAAATCTCAAAAAGAAATGAAGCACAGTGTAAAACCAGCTTCAGCCTTGAGTGAGTTATTGTGGCTGGCCACAGCTATAGCTAAACTGAGGATAAGTAAGCACCTTCAGTTTCCTTCATCCTCTGCCGCTCTTTCTGCAGAAGCTTGTAAGCAGCATGAATGACATCCTGTGTGCCTTGCCTGTTTATTGCACTAATGCAGAAAGGTTCAATGCCTTCAGACTGTAGCTTTTCCCTAAATGTATTCCATCTTTCAGATGCCTCTGGAAGGTCCATCTTGTTGAACACCACCACATAGGGTTTGTCAACCAAAGATGGGCTAAATAACTCCAGCTCCAAGCGAACTGCCTCAAACTCATATTCTGGTTGTTGTGAAGAACCATCGATGACATGTGCCTAATGCTCCAACAAGCAATAAAACAATTATCAGCACAGCCAATGCCAAGATACATAATCTCGTGACTTATGTTGTCATAACCATATGGAACTTGACGCAAATATTAAGATTAGAGTAAAGAAGGGAAAAGGGAACATACCAAGACAGAACATCGCTCACTATGCCTTAGGAACTCATGACCCAAACCATAACCACGATGAGCGCCTTCCAATAAGCCAGGAAGGTCAGCAACTACCATTGTAGCATCAAAATCTAATGAGACCACACCAAGGTTTGGTAGCAATGTGGTAAAAGGATAATTGGCTATAGCTGGCTTGGCAGCACTAATAACACTCAAGAGAGTGCTCTTCCCAGCATTAGGAGCACCTACAATCCCTACATCAGCGACCAACTTTAGCTCCAACTCTAACCACCTGCCAAACACCAGCATCCCCAAAAAGTTGTATGTTAGCGAAACGTAGAGATGGATTATCTGTGGATAACTGTTGTAGTCATTCATGTATTTCAGTTCAATGGCATTCAGCTCTTTGTGAGAAGCTGTATGCTACACAAATGACTCATCAATATTATCAGTCGGAAATTTATAAGCACAAGAAATTCCTCCAACATCTAACAATGCGAATCACAAAACAATCCAAGCAGCTGGGAAATTCCACGAACTAAGCAATGCCAGATGCAGTGCATTAGGAATAAAAACAAGTTGCACATTAACTGATCTTTCCAATCACTCATGATGAGATTATCTAGAAAAAATACTCATGATGTCAAGTTCATAGTAGAGAGAACATACATTTCTGGGCCTTTCTCCCCCTTCTCTGCGATCCTGGGCACCTTATTCGTCCCGGACTTGAACGCCGCATTGCCACGGCCGCCGCGGCCACCGGGGAGGAGCAGCGCGCGCTGCCCGGGCTTCATCAGCTCCAGGAGCTCCAGGCCTCCATCCGAGGTCCGCACCACCGTCCCCGGCGGCACCTTCACCACGACGTCCTCGCCCTTGGCCCCGGCCTGTTGCTGGCCCATGCCGTGCGCGCCGCGGCCGGCGCGGAAGTGCACGGACTTGCGGAACGGCAGCAGCGAGTTCATCTCCCCGTCCACCTGCACGTACACGTCGCCGCCGCGGCCGCCGTCGCCGCCCGACGGGCCCCCGTAAGGCACATACTTCTCGCGGCGGAACGCCACCACGCCGTTCCCGCCGTCCCCGGCCTTGGCGAATATCTTGGCCGTGTCGAAGCACCGCATCACCGCCGGCACGCCCTTCTCCTTCGCCTCCCCATCCCCTCCCTCCGCGTTCTCATCCCCGTAGCCGTCGTCCTCAAAGTCCTCCTCGTCCTCGTCGTCGTGGTAGTCTGGGTGGAACACTACAACCTCGTCACCGTCGTCGTCGTCGTCGTCGTCGTCGTCATCCTCTTCCCCGTCGCCGTACTCTACCTCTCCGAGCTCCGCAAGTGAAACGGCACCAGCTTCTTCATGATGACTTTGGTCGAACGGGAACATCTCCTCCTCCTCCTCCTCCTCCTCCTCCTCCTCCTTGTCGACGCCGTAGTCCGGGTCGAACACCACGACGTCGTCATTGTCGTCGAGCACTTCGGGAACAAGAGCCCGAGCTCTCCTGCCCCTTTTGACCTCGAACACGTCGAAGCTGCTGACGACGAGCTCCTCCCCCTCGCCGCCGTCGTCAAGGCGTTCGACCATTTGCCGCGTAAACCCGCGACCGCCAGTGCTCTTCCTCCCGGCCGCGCGGGCCTCGAACTGGCCAATGGTGAGCTCCACCCCATCCGTCGAGTCCCGCAGAGGAATCCGCGCGACAGAGTTGGGCCCCAACCCCACCTCGAACTCCTCGTCAAGCCGCTGGACACTCCCGCGCGTGAGAGAGGGCGCCCCCGAGTTGGCAGGGGCGGTGGGGAAGCGGTCGAGCGTGACTTCGGCCGACTCAGGCGCGTCGCGGAGCGGGAGCCGCGTGAACGTGGTGGCCGCGACGCCGCCGCCGCTGACGGAGGAGGAGGAGGGGGGAGGGCGGGGTGGGGGCGAGGACTTGAGCGGCCTGGCGGCGCTCTGCTTGCCTCGGCCGCTCCTGGTGTTGCGGCGCGCCTCCGCGGAGAAGAGACGGAATGGGAACGCCGACGCGGCGACGGCGGGCGGCGCCATCGCTGGCTGTTGGCTGCCGGCGTCTCTCTCTGCTGAGCTCACGGATTTTTCAGCTCGTCGAGAGCGGATAAGGAGCGGGGGATTCGTACCCTCGCTTGCTGTTAGTGTTACAGTCCAGCGAGATCTGGACCGTTGGTGTTCGAATCCTACGGCGGCGGGGGAGGTTGCTTCAGTGTTCAGGCCTCATCAGAGTGACTTCAGACTCCTGAATACCTGAATCCAGGTTGACGAGCTTACAGGTCCAAACTCCAAACTTTTGTGAAAAAATGTTGTATTCAAACCAAGTCTGCTTATGCTTGTATATGTTCAGATTTGTTGGACTGCCCAATCTGTTCAATCGGAAATTTGTGTAAAATTCCTGATCTGAACGGCTGAGGGTGTGTTTGGATACGTTCTATCCACCTCAATTTGGGTGGATACTAATGTATCCAAACAAGCCTTGAAATGGCAGGTGGAACCAGTACAGGTACGCTGTTTGCATGGCACTTATCTTTAAGCTCAACTTCTGACTGAAACCTGATACACTAGGTAGCTGGGTATGTTAGCCGAAAAAAAATCTCACAGAACCTATGCTACCTGTACAATTTGATTCCCTTGCAACACGTACGGATCTGTTGGTTGAAGTTTCTGGTTTTTTTTTGTGAAATCCCTCATCTAGATGTTTGACGCTTGAAAGCTTGAGGTAGCTATATAGGAGCAGTACCGAAATATACTGAAATTGCCTGTGAATAACAGATCCAGACATCTAGTACAGGTAAGCAACTTAACATTGCGCTCACTACTCCTTTGCTTGTTCACGTCTGACGGTTCTTTCGTGTATGAGCCAGCAACCATTTGGAATTTTGGATGTATCCGATCGAGTTCAAGTGCTGTTTGTTACATGATGTGTTCTGGTACTTAAAACGGAGTTAAGGGCAGCACAACATTTTACTTCACTCTTACAGGCCAAAAACACACACCAATAATCAGTACATAGGTAAGTTGTAAATACAATAGCTGACATCATTGGTCTATACATAACAGTTCCATCATTCAAACTAGTAGAATGGATGGAACAAAGGAATTAATTAAATCCTCGAAATCTGAACCAGGTGGAGAATATCGGCCCTGTTCGTTTTTCTTATAATCCGTACTTTTTAGCTTGTTTTTTCAGTCGGAACAGTATTTTTCTCTCACAACAAATCAACCGGAACAATGTTTCGGCTTGCTTTTTCAGCGAAGCGAACGTGGCCGATGGGATGCAACTGCTTTTGCTTGCTTCTTCGATGGGATCGGCTTCTGCTATGTCAATTTCTGTTTGTAATTAGCCAGAGAACCTTCAGATATAATTAGCCAGATAACCTTCAGCTTTGATGGCCATCTTGGTGACTATTGATAACATTAATGTTACAACAGTAAAAACATTGTAGCTTTCAAATCCCCATCGATAGCATTGCCATGCCTGTGAGTCCCAGTATTCTTTGGACTGCTTCACCAGCTCTTCGCGCAGTCTCCGCGCCGCGGAAAGTAATCTTTGTCCCTGGTTAGACAAGAGATGCAAGTTAGATCTAGAACACACTTAATTATGTTTTCAAAAGGTGCAGGTTAGATTCCAATACCTTCTCTTGAGGAGTAATTCAAGTTCAGTCATATGCACGGCGCGACCAAACACACCAACCTAAAGATCGTCAAATCCAAATCATCACCATGGAAGATGAAACAGTGTACGGATACAACTTCGTCATGTATTTACGGGACAAATCATTGTTTAGAACGTAGCATGAATGCCAAGGTAATTTATGGTGATGTAAAAGAAAAAACTAAACCAATTCATTGTTTTGAGAAGAAAACAGGAACTATATTTGCCTCGACGATTTAGCAAAGGTGATCAAAGAAAACATGTCACAAATGGAAGATACCACTAATAGAAGATACGTTTCACGGCAACAAGGAGACTGAACAAGAATGATGTGTGGCAGCAAGTAGGATTGCTCACATACCGCTCGGCATACAGGGCACTTGGCCTCTGGAGGTGCCGACTTGACACCCTGGAAGATGTACACAGAAGCAGCACCACATGCACAGGCTTTACAGAACAGATGCCCACAGCTAAGTGCGTAAGGGTTGAACAAAGTGTCCTGTACACATTGTAAGTGGAAAAATCATCACAAATGGACGTTAAAATCAGCACACATATATTCAAGCAAACTGAAGAGGGGAAAAAGATACCCTGCAGGGACAACATGCTAAGTTTCCACAGCAAACTTCCCTGCCAACAAGGGCTACCCTTTTAGTTCTATGATATTTATGAGCCAAAGAAAACGGAAGTTAAAGAATATCTCACCAAGCAAATCGGACAAGTTAGGCTGTACTCATACTTCAGAGTTTCAGAAATGGTCATTGTCAGTAGTGGCTGTGCTCCACTCAGGTCACAGGAAAAATTCTTGAAGAACCCTCCAGCTCCAGGTTCATCAGCATCTGAATCATCACAGTTGAGATGGAAAGAACCAAGCTCTATCAGCCAAGGTGACTGCAACAGTTCAATATGCTCAGTTTGTATCTTGCTCTTGAAATCTCTGCCACTCACAGAACCATGTATCTGCAGGATTATATAACTATATAAATACACAAAGATACATTGAATATGTCTGCTGACAATCAGGAGATCAACACTTACCTTGTCAACCATGGAAGCCATTTTCTTAATAAGACAAGTTATGGAGCGGTATAGGGAGAAGAAAGACCTACACATGGTTTTTATTGACTTGGAGAAGGCTTATGATAAAATACCAAGAAATGTTATGTGGTGGGCTTTGGACAAACATAAAGTCCCAACAAAGTACGTCGGGCTCATTAAGGACATGTACAACAATGTTGTGACTGGTGTTCGAACAAGTGATGGAGACACGGATGACTTCCCGATTAGGATAGGACTACATCAAGGGTCAGCTTTGAGCCCTTATCTGTTTGCCTTAGTGATGGATAAGGTCATAAGGGACATACAAGGGGACATCCCTTGGTGTATGCTTTTCGCGGACGATGTAGTGCTAGTTGATGAAAGTCGGACATGAGTGAATAAAAATTTGAGTTATGGTGGGAGACTTTGGAGTCCAAAGGTTTTAGACTCAGTAGAACTAAAACTGAGTATATGAGATGTGACTTCGGCACTACTACTCGGGAGGAGGAAAATATTAGTTTGGAAGGTCAAATAGTGCCTAAGAAGGATATCTTTCGATATTTAGGATCAATGCTACAGAGAGATGGGGATATTGATGAAGATGTTAGCCATAGAATCAAAGTAGGGTGGATGAAGTGGCGCCAAGCATCTGGTGTCCTATGTGACAAAAAGGTACCACAGAAGCTAAAAGGCAAGTTTTATAGGACGGCAATTAGACTTGCTATGTTGTATGGTGCAGAATGTTGGCCTACGAAAAGACGATATGTTCAACAGATAAGTGTCGCGGAAATACGTATGTTGCGTTGGATTTGCGGTCATACAAGAAGGGATCGAGTTCGGAACGATGATATACGTGATAGATTAGGGGTAGCACCAATTGAAGAAAAGCTTGTCCAACACCGGTTGAGATGGTTTGGACATGTCCAACGGAGACCTTCAGAGGCATTGGTGTGTAGTGGAATCCTAAGCCAGGATAGTAACGTGAATAGAGGCAGAGGAAGACCGAAGTTGACTTGGATAGAGGTAATAAAAAGAGACTTGAAAGGATGGAATATATCCAAAGACTTAGCCTTAGATAGGAGTGCTTGGAAAACAGCTATTCACGTGCCTGAACCTTGATTGCTTCTACTGGGTTTCAACTCTAGCCTACCCCAACTTGTTTGGGACTTAAAGGCTTTGTTGTTGTTGTTGTTGTTTGCGAATAGCAATAGCATTCATGGTCACATAATTGAGAAGCATTCTGCCTTCTTGAACCATTATTTGCTGATCATCTATGAAACACTGCCTAAAACGCCATATACAGCGTTGTATTCCTGAAGGGACATGAAGATGGAGGTGGCGTTGTACTCTAGATCTGAAACAACCTGCTATTTCTGAAGCCTCCTTGTTGAGTTCTGTAAAGAACATCTCATCACACACCGAACAAGAAAGATACTAAAAGTTAAAATCACAGTAGTATAAGTTGTAAGACAAGCATAACAAGATGAAAAAGGAGTAGCAAAATGTAAAGTTAATGACCTTAAGTAAACTATTCTAGTTAGGCTATCTAGTTCTAGGTTTCCAGCTATGAATTTATATGGTCGGACCAGGAATAGTCCATAGTTAGGTCAAACAGACATGAATACTCGCCCATCTAAAACTAATACTATTTTCAAAGCAAGGAGCCCAGTTGCACAAAATGAACAGTTGTACAAAATGAAATGACTATTATTCTTTCATGGAAGAGAATAATGACCATTGTCATCTCCCTTTGGTTTTAAATCTCGTTTCATAAACTTGATGCAGATTAGTCCATTTTTTATCATAAAAATATGACTATTTCCTCAAAAGTTCCTGAGTTGCAAATTGTAATAAAATCACATGTGGTTCAAAGTAGCAAACTAAATGGCAAATGCAAAGGGAATGATTTTCTTTAACTATGGTGATAATACATTATTTCGCTTCCATATCATAAACACAAAACACACGCATCAAGATGGAGGAGCAAGGTCTGCAATGGTAGACTATGGGCATACATGTGCATGAGTTGCATTCACAAATGTTTGAAGATTCGTCACTCCCCTCCTGCTGCTCATCACCATTTGTGCCATCTGCTTGCAGTGAGCGACCAACTCGATATTTCTTCAATACCTTCTTCAGGCATTTGTATTCTACATGGGAGCATTGTCCTAGGAATTTGTCCTGCTCTGCCCGGAGATACTCCTCATATGTGGCGCCGAGCTTCATCTTGTCTACTGGAAAAAGAAAATGATAATGAACTATAGCCATTCAATATTGAGGAGATTAGGCACTCCATCATGAATTGTAACAACGAAATAAATCAGCACACTCAAGCATTATGACATCTAATGACCACATTGGTCACAGTATTATGTCCAAGAATGATCAAGGGATATTTTCAGCTGCAATTATTAATCAGTCATTGCGCCACCGAAATATCACAGGAGAAGAGATGTTTTTAACACGCAAATACACTTCTTTTGGGAATAATTTAATTTTGATAAAAACTAGCTTTGCATGCATGAATTAACTGATACAGATAACTGTATTCTGCAAAAGAATACATGGCATAGAATATAAATTGTAATGGATAGAAAATAACTGCCTAAACAAACAAAAAAAAAGACTAAATGTACATAAAAAAAGGACCTCTGCTATTGATAACGATGTTTGTATCAGCCATATAAAAACTGTTAATTTTCAGCTGACCAGACCTAAGCAAAAGACTGACACAAGGATTATTTATCTATCATAAATAACTAATACTCCCTTCATTCCAAAATATATGTTTTATGGCTTTTCTAGACACAACTTTTGCCATGCACCTAGATTATGCTGTCTAATCTAGAAAAGCCAGGATGACTTATAATTTGGAATGGAGGGATTACAATCAAAAATATATATGCAAACAAATCCCCTGATACTTATTTTCTGATCTTGCCAAATCTTACACCTGCACTCCTGCCAGACTCCAACTCCCACACCGGGCCACTCCAATATAGCGTGTGGGACAGGTTGCAGTCCCTTGTGAATCTTACAAAGATGGTTACCGAACAGAACTCTGCCTCAGCTTCAAATGCGCATATGAAGAAAAGGCAATGAGGTGATACTGAGGGGTTCAGTTGAATACTTGAATCTTATGTTGAGTATCAATTCTCTTATGATATTCCTCTCATCATATCGGCAATCTGCTCTTTAGACGCTGTATCTTCCCCCAAGCTTCTTGAGGAGGTAGGTTCGATGCTTTGGGAGCGTGTACTGTCTGCATGCATGAAAACATCGTTGAGAAATTAGAAGTAGCCTCATTTCATGACGAGGGCAAATTGAAACAGAAACAGAAACCGACAATGAGATGTGTGATTTCGACTTTCGAGTTTGTAGTCTGAAACAATCTTGAGCCTAGGACTAGGACTGGGAGAGTGTATTCAAGAGGTTTAGCTTTCAGAATTCAGAACCTTTTTCTACTTAACACTGTTGCCTTATGGGCAATGAAATTCCACTATGAATGTGCTAGGAACTGTCATGTGCTGCTATTGTGAATTGTGAACACCATCAGTGTTGAGAGCAGCCACAGTGTTAGTGGGGTTTCAAACGTCTTGCCATTGACATGGTGGCATTGATGCCCAAAACAACTTGGAGGCCGTTCCCATTAAAGCACATCAGCTTTTAGTTGAATCGGGCACTACAAATTTGTACCAACTCAACCAGCTGAAATAGTATTCTATACTCCCTTGGTACTAAAAAGAGTGCCATTCTCATTTTTCTCAAGTTTAACCAAATATATACAAAGAAGTGTACCTGTGCATAATTTAGAGCTAGTAGAAGTCTTGTTCCCTCAACCGAGACAAAGTATTTCCATGGCACTCCACTCCTTCACCAATAATCTCCACAAGAGCATTTTCCATCTTTGAAATGGTGAAAGCGGCTTACATCTCGGACCACAATCTCCCGTCCAGTCACTTTAGACATCAACTTAATAGCTACATGGCAATCATCACATACACGTAGATTCTTCATAACCCGAATAGGAACTCCTTCAGGTAAGCTCAGGAAAGCAAATGCTATAGCCAACTTCTCACTGTGGTGCGCCAAACTAACTTCTTTCTCCTCATCCTCCATGTCATGGAAAACCATGCTCATGTCCGGTGCATATCCACATTGTCTGATCTTGGTCATCATTTCTTCCAAGCATTCATCAATCTCCCTTTGCCTTGAATGGGATTTATCTCCTGTGCAGAATTGGTGAATCTGACCCTTCAGCTCCACCCAGCTAACTCCAGGCTCTTTCCTCACGTTCTGTTCCCTCATGGTTTTCCTTACCTTACTGACATCCTCCCATCTGCTGCTGGTAGCTCGAATATTTGATAGAAGAACATAAGATGCAGAATCATGAGGGTCCAATTCAATAACACGTTCTGCTATCCTCTCGGCCATGTTGAAATTTTTCTGGATCTTACATGCAGACAGTAGTGTCTTCCATATGACCCCATCAGGTTGCACAGGCATTGACAGGATAAGGTCCTCCGCCTCATTTAGACAACCTGAACGTCCAAGAAGATCCACAATACAAGTGTAGTGTTTAACACTTGGCTTTAGTCCACAAGTATTAGTCATAAGCTCAAAACAACTCATGCCTTCATCTTTAAGACCACTATGGCTGCATGCATATAGCAAGGTCAAGAAAGTAACCTCATTGGGTTCTGCCCCTCCAGCTATCATCTGTTTGAACAGACCAACTGCCTTTTGTCCATGCCCATGGAATCCATAAGCTGAGATCATCGCACTGCAAAGGACAAGATCTGTACCACTATACCCAAGGCAAACCCTTTCTGAATCACATAAGCACCCGCATCGAGAATACATATGCACAAGAGAAGTCATGACTGGCACAACCTTGTCAACTCCAGCTTTGATAGCCTGTGCATGAACCTGCTGACCTTGTGCAAGAGCTGCCAAGTCTGAGCAAGAACTAACGGCGCTGACGAATGTGACTGCGTTTGCTTCCACACCAGCACCTCTCATCATGCAGAAATACTCGAGTGCCCCTTCCGAGTCTCCATTCTGTGTTGTTCTTCCAGCGATTATGGTATTGCACGACACAATGTTAAGCAGAGGCAATGCTCGGAGAGCAGCCTCCCCTTCTCGAAGAAAACCACACCGCAATACATGTGTGCCAAGGAGCTCCCAACGCACATGTCTCTGTCTAGTCCCGACCGCACAACGTACGCGTGGACCTGTCGCCCAGACACAACGTCCCTGAGCCGGCACAGCACCAGAACAAGCTCCCGAGGCCAAACTCATCAGGCTGCATCCCCTCCCTCCGCATGGCAAGGAAGAAGCGCAGGCTCTCCTCGTTGAGTCCCGAGTTGGTGAGCCCAGCGACCATGGCATTCCACGTCGCCACGTTCCTCGCGGGCATTTCGTCGAACAGCTTCCGCGCGGTCTCCAGGTCACCGCTCTTGACGTATCCCCCCGATGAGGATGTTCCAGGACATGACGTTCCGCTTAGGGATTCTGTCGAACAGACCGCGCGCGGCGGGGAAGTCGCCCAGGTCGGCGTAGGCGAGGAGGAGGTGGTTCGCCGTGAACCGGTCGGCGGCGGCGCCGGACGTGGCGGCGAAGGCGTGGAGCTGGCGGAGGAGCGGGAGAGCGCGGCACACCCGGAAGATGTGGGAGAAGAGGCCAGGCTCCGACCACAGGCACTGGCGGAAGCGGCGGTGGAGGGCCTCCTTGTCTCCTTGACGCGGCCAGTGGAGCAGAGGCGGATGATCTCCTCTCTTCTTGCGTCGGGCGGTCCGGTGGCGAGTTTATTCAGCGCTGAACTTGCCATAGCCGCCGCAAGGACGCGGGAGATTTACATTTTTACCATTATTAAGAACGTCACTCATCCAAAAATCATTCTTATCCTTACAAAATTGCCATTAAAGAGAGAAGAAATCCTATAAGTTTTCAAAAAACGAGCGTTTTGCCTGCGTGGCGTGCTAGCTCACGGTGCCAGTGTGAAAGGACAAACTGCCCCTGTCCTGTTCTCTTTCTCCCCCCTCTCCGACAGCTAGGTCCCGCAGCTCCTCTACTCATAGGTGGGCCCCACTCGTCAGCTTCGTCTCCTATCTCCAGCCATACACGAAGAGGGCGCACACCAAGGAGCTCCACCTGACGCTGCCGGCAAGGGTGGGCGCGGCCCCGCTGCTGGCGAGTTCGGCAGCGCAGGTAGCCCCGGCCACGGGCGAGCTCATCCTCGGCGGCGGCGCAGCGATTCCCCGCCATGGCCACAACCTTCGTCGCCGCCTCCTCTCCCCCACCTCTACCTCTCCCGCTCCCAATCCCATCACCGAAACCCCAGCACACCTCGAGAGCCTCGATTCGGGGCTGCCTCCCGCCCATCCAGTGCCCGTCCACCTCGTCGTCGTCGGGGTCGCGTGCCTGGGGTTGCCGCATGCCCAGCTCCGTCGGGAGCCCGTCCAGGAGACGGATACGGAGCTTCGCAGGGAGGCCGGGTGGCGGAGCAGGAGGGGAACCGTGCGGGCCTGAGCCCCCTCCACCTCCATCCTCTCCTTCCTCCTGGCAGCGAATATTCGTGTATGGCTAGAGGAGACGAAGCTGACGAGTGGAGCCCACCTGTAAGTGAGAGGAGTTGCAGGCCCTGGCTATTGGAGAGGGAGAGAGAGGAGCAGGGCTAGGGCAGCTTTGTCTTTTCGCAATGGGCCTCCAAGCTAGCACCGTGAGCTGGCATGGCACATAGGCAAAAACGCCCATTTTTGGTAAACTTGTAAGATTTCTTCGCTCTCCAATGACAATTTTGTAAGGGCAACCGTGAGAGTGATATTCAGATGAGTGACATTTTTAATCATGGTAAAAATGTAAATCTCTCCTCAGACGCAGAGGTGCTCAGAAAGAGGCAAGGCGAGGCAAAACAGAGAGGGGAAAACAAGGTGAAGTTTGGTTCATGGGAAATGGGGGTTGGCATAGGGAAATCGGGGTGGGATAGAATCTTTCCTATGTTTGGATAGAGGGAAAAGGAAATGAATCTGGATATGGAAAGGAAAAAGATTCATCTATATCCCAGTGATTTCGTCCTGACCAGATTGGTGGGTTATCATCGGGAAACGATGAGGCTAGCTGCGCGTCTTTGGAGAACGACGAGGCTGGAGCTCGTAAGCTCGTCATGCACAGCAGTAGGCCCATGAGACCGAGAAGACAAGCTAGCCTTCTTGCCAACACAGTGGCGAAGTAGCGATCATCTGGGGGCGGCAAAGTACGACACGCTGGAGAAGAAGGGGACTTGGAGGAGCAGGGCTAGGGAGCGGGGCGGTGCGGCGCTCGCCGGAGAAGAAGGGGAGTTGGAGGAGCAAGGCCAGGGAGCGGGGCGGTGCGGCGCTCGCCGGAGAAGAAGGGGAGTTGGAGGAGCAAGGCCAGGGAGCGGGGCGGTGCGGCGCTCGCCGGAGAAGAAGGGGAGTTGGAGGAGCAAGGCCATGGAGCGGCGTGGTGCGGCGCTCGCCGGAGAAGAAGGGGAGTTGGAGGAGCAGGGCCAGTGAGCAGTGCGGTGGTTTTGTTTTTTTTACTCTTATATGTGTGGGTCCCACTAAATAACCTATCACAAACCTAAATCTCTACATCTCTTCTGATATCTTATCTTATATACACCTAAAAAGACTCTAAAGTCATCATCTACCCGATTGATACCAAATATATCGGTACGAAGACCGGATCTACTTGTCCGCGTCCGATATGAAATCCTCGGAACCTATGTGTCCACGTCCGATCAGTGAGGTTCAATCAAAAAAAAATCATGACCCCAATGCAACGTACGGGCATATATCTAGTAGCCCGAGGATAGAAATACGAGTATTCCTCTCCCCAACCCACCTTATCATATCCATCTACATATCCCTATCCCAAACCCAATATGTGCGGTGGCAGCTGATCCACAAGGGGGGCCATGACATCGCTCGATCGATTCGACGGTGAGGACTGAGGAGCAACAGGGAGAGGGAGTGAGGGAAGGAAGGAGGGGAACATAGGGGGCGCGGGCGCGCGAGAGCAATATGTGCGGTGGCAGCTGATCTACAAGGGGGGCCATGACAGCGCTCGATCGATCCGACAATGAGGACTGAGGAGCAACGGAGAGAGGGGGTGAGGGAAGGAAGGAGGGGAGCATAGGGGGCGCGTGCACGCACGAGAGAGATGGAAGACGACGCGCGAAAGCAGCAATGCGGCGGCTCTGCGCCTCTGATCTGTGTGAGAGAAACAGAGAACATGGCGGCAGGCCCGGCCCTGGGGGGGGGTTTGGGCCACAGACTGGGCCCTCAAGGCCAGGGGGCCCAACCCCAAATAGGTAAGTAGTAGTAGTATTTGTATTTGGCCCAACCCTACAAAGGTGGAGAACCAGCGTCTGAGATAGGACCTTGCCCGCCTCAAGCGTTGCCTTCCGCGTGACCGCGTCTTGGCGATTCCTGCGCGAGCGCCGAGTGCTGTTCCTGCGCGAGCGCGAGTGCCGAGTGAGCGACTCCCGTGCGAGGCTGCAGCGAGCGATCGTGCGTCTTGGCGATCTTCGCGAATCGCGACTCCGGGCGAGTGTGAGCGGCCGACGGCACTCTGTCTAGTCTGCTGGTTTTCGTATATGGAGGTAAGAAACTAGGCCTCGGCCCTAAGCGACCAAGCCCCCTTAATCACCCAATCTTTATTCTTTATACTTTTTTAGATTTCGGGTTTAGGAATCCCATATGGTGTAGCAATCATGTTGAATTTAGTATGGCATATTTTTTTAATACTTACTACTTGTCTGAATATACAGTGAAGTCATGTTGCCCAAAAAACATTCATCTGGAAGTGAGAAAAGAAAAAAGAAGAGAAGGATAGAGGCCTTGAAAGAATCACAAAAGGGATCTATTCATAATTTTTTTAAGAGCAATACAAGCACTGCAAGAAATTCAGATGAATGGGCAATAGTTGCTGTGGAGGATCAAACTACGCAACAAGAAGATCAAAGCCGTATAGAAGATAATGTTGGCATCGACACGGACGATAATAATGTGAGTGACCATGAGCCCATATTTAATTCTCCTATGACGGAATCTACTCGTGTTGATGAAGAACCAGTTTTTACTATTGATATGTATGATCCAGTAAATTGGGACAATCTTGATAACAAAGCAAGGGACATATTAGTGGAGAAGGGGCCTATTAGAGAAGAAATATTGTGTTTCCAATGGATGCCAAATCAAGACATTTTGCATACACTCATTATTCTAGAAAAATGAGCAATGGCGAGGTACGTGATAGGAAATGGTTGGTCTATTCAAAAAGTGTTGACAAAGTGTTTTGCTTTTGTTGTAAGTTGTTTGGTTCTAGTAACCGCAAGAGTTCATTAGGGCATGATGGCTTTAGAGATTGGAGCCATGTTAGTGAAAGACTAAAAGAGCATGAAGTTAGCGTGGATCATATGACCAACATGAACTCTTGGAATGAATTAAGAGTTAGATTAAGCAAACATGAAACAATTGACAAGGAGTTGCAACATCAAATCACAAAGGAGAAAGAACGCATAAGGCTAGTTCTACTAAGAATTGTTGCCATTGTAAAGTTTCTTGGTAAACGCAGTTTAGCTTTTAGAGGATCTAGTGAGCAACTTTACAATGATGTGAATGGTAATTTCTTAGCTTGTTGTGAGATGGTTGCTGAATTTGACTTGGTAATACAAGACCACCTTAGACGCATTCAAAACAAAGAGCTACAATATCATTATCTTAGTCATAAAATTCAGAATGAGTTGATTTCACTTATGGCTTCTAGAATTACAAGCTCCATCATAAAGATTGTTAAAGAGGCCAAATATTTCTCAGTTATTCTTGATTGTACCCCAGATGTGAGTCACCAAGAACAAATGAGCTTGTTGGTTCGATGTGTTCATATGTCTGATGAGAAAATAAAAATTGGGGAGTACTTTCTTGGTTTCTTGAAGGTGGATGACACATCTGGTGAGGGGCTTTTCAATGTATTAGTTGACTCCATCAAATTATTTGGCCTTAATGTTGATGATATTAGAGGTCAGGGTTATGACAATGGCTCTAATATGAAAGGAAAATATAAGGGGGTACAAAGTCGTTTGCGTGAAATAAATCGAAGGGCTTTGTATATGCCATGTGCATGCCACAGTCTTAATCTCACTCTTTGTGATATGGCTAAATCATGCAGTAAAGCTATTTCATTCTTTGGAATTGTGCAGAGGATATATGTATTATTTTCAGGTTCTACCAAAAGATGGAATGTTTTGTTTGAACATGTTCCAGATTTGACCGTGAAATCATTAAGCAATACTCGTTGGGAGAGTCGCATCAAAAGTGTCCGAGCAATTAGATATCAAGCTCCTCAACTAAGGTCAGCTTTGTTGTGGCTAAGTGAGGATGGAGATACTGAACCAAAGGATAGAAGTGATGTAAAAAATTTATATGACGTGCTTGGCAGCTATGAGTTCATACTTGGTATGGTTATTTGGCATGACATTTTATACTCTGTAAATATTGTCAGTAAGAAGTTGCAATCACCATCCACGTGCGTTGATTCTACCTTGCAGCATATAGAAGGTATGGTGAATTACTTTCAGAACTACAGAAATACTGGGCTTGCTGATAGTATGGTTGCTGTCACAGAAATAGCACTTGAAATGGGAGTAGAGGCATCATTTTCAGTAAAGCGTCGTTCTGTTAGGAAGAAACAATTTGATAAAACTGAATGCAATGAAACTATCTTGCAAGCTGAGAAGGATTTTGAAACTTTTTATTTTTTGGTTATGGTTGATATGGCAATTAGTTCATTGAAAAGCAGATTTAAAGAACTACAGTTATTCAATGAAAAATTCGGATTTCTAATGAATTCAACATCCTTGAAGGCAATGGATGGTGCTGATCTAAAAGACCATTGCATTAAATTTGCAAAAACTTTCTCTTCAGATGGTTCATCGGATGTTGATGTAAATGACATGATTTCTGAGTTAGCTGTTATGCAGTCTACTTTGCCAGATAAGCCAATGTCTGCTATGGAGATTTTTGAGTTTGTCACAGAAGCGGATTGTTATCCTAATATTTCTATTACTTATCGGATCCTATTCACTATGCCTGTGACTGTGGCCTCAGCTGAAAGAACATTTTCAAAGCTGAAATTATTGAAGAATTATTTGAGGTCTGTAATGTCCCAAGAAAGATTAAATGGTTTGGCAACTTTATGTATTGAGAAGAAATTATTAGATGAAATTGATATTGAGGCCATCATCAATAACTTCGCAGCAGCAAATGTTAGAAGAATTTTTTAAGGTAATATAAGATGTATAACTTTTTTATTGTTTCATAAGAATTTTTTTATGCGTTACACTTATTAAAATTATCATTATATTATTAGATTTATATTAAGGGGGCCATCGCCTATGACTTCGCTCCAGGTCTATAATTTGACAGGCCGGGCCTGCATGGCGGTAGCAAGAGACTCAAGAGAGAATAGCCATCACCCGCGAATGGTCTGTTTTACCCCTGCAGGCTGCAGCAGCAATTCGTTCGTTCGCCCATGACCTGCTGCCGCAGCTCCCGCCACCGCACGCACGCAGCCATGCAGGGGCGAGGTGACGCTCTGCTCCTCCCGTCGCACTGCCAAACCGAGCCATCTCCGCGTCACCATCAGAGAGGTGATTCCGGCGAGCCGAGGCGATTCCAGCGCGGCCGCAAGTGACGGGCAACGCCGAGAAAAGAGATGTAATACTCCTACCTCGCACACGCGCACGGCGCACGCACCTTTGGAAGAGTACGCCACACCACACCATGGGGATGTTCGGCAGCAAGGGAAAGTTGTTGCTGCTGCAAACTTTGGCTGCACTTAGAGTGTTTTGCTGAGACAAAAAAAAGCGCAACGGCTGCAGCGGCAGCCACTGCAAGTTGATATCAAATAAGTATTACCTGAGACATGTTTTGGTAGGCATGATACTTCTTTCTCTCTATATTTAGTTAAACTCTAGATACTTTAATAAGATAATATATAGAATAATAATATTTTTAAGATGAATATAGTATTAGTAGTAATAGCCCATCTGTCTCTGAATAAATAGATTCTTAAAGTTGTTCTGAATCAAACTTTCTAAACTTTAACCAAATTTCTAAAAAAAAAAACCATCAAGATTTATGACATCAAATTAGTAATAAATAGATTCCTAGAGTTATCTTAAGTCAAACTTTTTAAACTTTGACTAAATTTTTAGTAAAAATGTTAATACTTATGGTACCAAATTAGTTTCATTAGATTTATCATAGAATATATTTTCATAAGGTGCTCATTTTATGTCATATATGTTGTTACTCTTAGCTATAAAGTTAGTCAGGCACGGATTCTAAGAATTAATTTATTTAGAGACAGAGAGAGTGTCATTAGATATACCATACAATATATTTTTATAATATGCTCATTTTATGTTATAGATGTTGTTACTCTTCTATAAAATTAGTTAAATTTAAAATAATTTAACTTATACGGATTCTAGAAATTGATTTCTTTTACGGAGAGAGTAGTTTTTATTACAGTACAGTGGTGATCCAACACTCCATGTCTCTCGGCACACCTCTCAATGATGGATCAGGTCGGTGCCTACCGCTGGCATGCACCGATGTTTTTCACGAGATGCATGATCGATAACGCGTTAGCGTCTCGTGAACGAACGAGACATCGCGTGCTGTTTGGTTCGTACGGTAGTAACATAAATGGAAATAAAAAAAAGTTCAAATGCTATGGCAGGCGGTAACGTCCATAGTTTTAATTCTATATTCCATTTGCGTTACCGCTGCTATAACCAAACAGCTCGCAAAGCTAATAGCTAGTTAGATAAAAATTAGTCTAAATTAGTTTTAGTGTATTTAAATAGGTGAGCTAATTTTTTAAACAAGACTTTAACTAGTTGTTAAGCAACTAGAACCAGTTGTTAAGCAATTAGCTAGATAATCATAGATAATTTAGACTAATTTTTAGTACAAAACTAGTAAACAGCAGCCATGTGTATCAAACATGTTTTAATTAATGTTAAACTAGTATTGTGAGAACAAAATAGGCAGGACTTTTTTATATTTCACCTAAACTCAAATATTAAGATAGTTTTTCACACGCAGGTGCAATACCCGTTTTCTTGCCGTGAGATTCATATTTTTTCTCAGGGCATCGCGTGGAGCTGTGGAAAAGAATAGCCTCACCCTCCCGTCGTGCCTAGTGCCTTTCTCCGTCTCCTCTCCTATCCGTCCTACAGCCTGTTCGGGAGGCCGTATCGTATCGTGGATTATTTACTGCTGGCTGGTTTGATGTGAGAGAAAAATACTGTTCCCGGCTGGAAATTTACGATCGTTTACGAGCAAGCCAACAGGCTGCTAATCGGCAATCATCTCCTCTCCGTTACGAAGGGCTCACGAGAGGAGAGCAAAACTCGTGATTCAAGCAAGGGCCTGTTTGTCCACTGGTACTAAAACTTAGCCAATTAATAGCTAATAATTTTTAGCGACTGTCTGGATTCACATGCCAATAGATTGTTTTATAACGAGTTGAAGATATATATAAACTATTAGCAATTTTAGACCTGTTAGTAAAGCTAATAATTAACAGGTCAATTTAAAATCTACTGGCACTAATTTTAGCGGCTAATTTTTAATTCCAATGGATAAAACATTGCCCTAAAAAGAACAGAAACAGCTAATTTGCCGATCACCGAAACAGGCACGGTGAAATGCAAAACTGAATTTCTTTAAAAAAACCAAAACAGAGAATCGAAGTGAGTAGATAAGATACATTGCATGAATTCAGGTGGGAAAAGATTCCAGTAATTTTCTATTTATATATATTATTATTTATATATATAAGCACAGATCGCCCCCCGAACCGCCTCATCTGTTCAACTACCATCCGAGTTCGCAGCAGCACTCTCCTCAGTGGAGTCCAGGTCCAGCAACCCTCTTCGTCATCGTCGTTATCCCATCCCCGGGGATTGGCGGCGTGGGGGCATCTATCGGTCTTCTGGAGATTGCCTGGTAGGAATCCCTTCCTGTGCTTAGACGGGCCGTTCAATTCCATTTCTCTTCCTCCCGCGTTTCATCCCGTTCGTCGCGCCGTTCAATTCTCTTCCTTGATTTGTTTGCTGCGCTTCTCCAGACTCCAGGTGGTGCGTTTTCTGATCTAAGCCCGGCATGAAGGGCTCAGAACGTTTGCTGCTGCTGCTGCTGGTGGTGGCATCATCGTCGTTACTGTCCGCCGTGGTCAGTCGCTACTGCCCTTTTTACTCTCTGATCTGATAATCATGGTAGTGACGTTGTGGTTCTGATCTTGGTTCGGGCGCTCCATGTCAGATTGCCGCGCAGCAGACTTGCCCTGCCGACCTCGACAGCAAATGCGATGGTGGCGCGTCTGATGATTGGGAGGGGGAGTTCTTCCCCGGCGTCCCGAAAATCAAGTATGAGGTGAGGCCACGAAAACCCACATTCTTCAATCAGATTGTGAGGTTGTTGTGAACCCAACCATTGTTCCTTGAACAATTCATGATTGTGCTGCAGGGTCCAACCAGCAAGAACCCTCTTGCTTATAAGTGGTATAATAAGGAGGAAGTGATTCTCGGGAAGAAGATGAAGGTATGATAACTGAACCCAATGTTCAGTTTTCACTATACCCCTTTTTTACAGTGTAAAGTCAAACCTTTGCACCCTGTGGGATAAAGTCAACATTTATGCTTATTTTGTTGCTATTAGGATTGGATGCGCTTCAGTGTTGCGTTCTGGCACACATTCCGTGGTACTGGCGCCGATCCTTTTGGTGCGCCTACAAAGGTTTGGCCTTGGGAGGATGGCACCAATTCATTGGGCATGACTAAGAGAAGAAGTATGATGATCACCTGACCTAACTTTGTGTTTAGTTCCAGCTTTCTGGGTTATGTTTGGGTCTGTTTGTTGGAAGAACTAACTTTTGTTTCAACCGGTATTGCAGTGAGAGCTCACTCTGAGTTCATGGAGAAGCTGGGAGTTGACAAATGGTGCTTCCATGATAGGGATATTGCCCCGGATGGGAAAACTCTTGAAGTATGTCCTTCAGTTGTGTTGTATACTTCTGTTAACACATGAACTCAAAAGTATAATCAGCATGCTTTTTTCAATATGCAGCCTTACAATTGGTTCAGTAGTTGTGTCCATCAGTTATGTTTCATGTGTATTAACAGTTAATCAAAGCGGCTTGGTAGAGTTATCTAGGGTACTGTTTTTAAGATGCAACCTTAGAAATTACATTTGGTTTGGTGGTTCTGGGTACTACTATCAATTTATTATGGGATGCTATCGGTTATCTATGGGATGGGGCTATATGTTGAGCATAGGAATATGATTCCTGATGTGTTCCAGCTATCTTATGCTCACCGAAGGATTCATTTTGATCATCTGTTTCATTCACACCCAACCAATTAGGTATAGGAAGCTCTAACTCATTTGTGCAGCAAACATTTCATCTCATGTTAGATATAGATACTTTTAAAGATGAAGTCTGCGTGAAGCAACCATCAAGCGTCAGGAGCAAGAGCTTAAATTCCGTGAGGCAGCTCTCAAGAACAAGAAGGATGCAGCGGAACTATCTTCAGGGCACGACAGAAAGGGGAAACAACCACGCTGCACCCAGTAGAACAATGTAATAGACCCAACAAGTTAAATTTCCTAAGGCATGCTAGAACCAGTGGTGGGACTACTTACCTTAGCTACCTAGAGTTCCACACGTGCCATTTAGTATTGCAGGTTTGGTCCATGTACCGCGCTGGGTTAATATTACAATGTGTTTGTTCCTATAAAAGTTTGTAAGATTCCTTAAGTTATGGTGCGTGATGTATCCTTATATGTCTGTAAAAGGAGAGCAAATATTTTTAGTGTTGCTCGAAAAGTGGTAAAGTTAGTTTTTTGTCTGGTGATGGTTGTGTTCGGAACCGAGGATCACATCGGGTGATAGTTGTCTTTACACATTAATGGGAGTACATTTATGTTTCTGCTTCATGAATATGATATTTTTTTGGACATTTCTAATAATAGTAGGCCTTATTTCTATTTTGGTATTTTGAATTTCAGGACTTTTAGCCCCTGTTAGTGAAGGACTAGAGAAGCTTTCTAGTTATGAATCGGGTATAGAACCCATGGGGGGGGCTTGGTTACAATTTCGAATACGCTATTACATGTTTGCGCTAGTCAAAATCAAGTGAAAGAAGCCCTTGTTCCCACTCTTCTTTCCCTCTACCTACCCGGTAGGTAAGTAGGGGCCTCGATACCCCTTTTGCAAATAGATATCTACACCTGAAAAGATATTTCAATTTCGATCGCGCTCCCAATCGGAGACTTTAACAATCAAGTCGTTATGGGGTTATCCCGTTTGTTGTCTAAAAAATAATTGCTTCGCTTTGAAATGCCCTCCAGGACCTGGTTGCTGGGATACATGCAATCAGCTGCCCAAGAGCCGACAGGGCCTGGCAGCGGCCAACAGGGCCGTTGTCGGTTGCCACGTTAGCCATGTCGGCTGCTGAGCTGCCGACCGGGGACCTGTCAGCCTTCCAGTAGCCGATAAGTTCCCTGTCGGCCTTCCAGTAGCCGATAAGTTCCCTGTCGGCCTTCCAGTAGCCGATAAGTTCCCTGTCGGCCTTCCAGTAGCCGACAAGTTCCCTGTCGGCTATCCAGTGGTCGACATGATGCTAAATCCGCTATTTTTATATAACAAGTTCTACATTTGCAATTTTTTATTAAAAAATATTATTTAAAAAAAACACTTGTATTTTTCATGACTAATATGACGTTGCCGTTACTTTTGGGTCTAACGGTGTTAAATGAGGGGTGAAAAGACAATATTGCCCTTTAGTATGACTTGAGGTATATGTACAAATTAGAATTCAGTTTTTTTTCACGTTTTCAGAGCCGTCAATATGCTGCATGTGTTTCATTCTTTTTTTTTTTTTGTTTGGTTTCATATCATCATAGCATAGAAATCTGTAACCATTAATTTTTGACAAATGCAAACACCATGTTGGATATATTGCAGCACAATAATAATTTGAAACATTAAAATAGCAATTCTGGTCGACAATTTAAAATCAGCCACGCAAATTCATAGAGAAGTAAGACAAGTGCATACACACGTTCTCCACTACAAGTGAGTTCTCCATACATAAATAAGTTGGACACAAATACACAGTCACACAAATATTAAACTTCACACATACATTGTTCGAGGCATCTGCTTGGGAGTGCAGCGCCAGCAGCTGAGGGGCCCTTGTCCCTCGGCCCCACCTGGAACGACCTGCGCTGGCCGCCTGGAGACGCGCCCTCCCATGCCGAGGACCGCCAGGGGCTCGCCTAAGCGCACCTACCTCCTGCACTGGGGACGTGGACTATTTTAATGTTTCAAATTATGGTTGTGCTGCAATATATCCAATATGGTGTTTGTATTTGTCAAAAATTAATGCTTACAAATATTTATGCTAGGATGATATGATAACAAACAAAAAATAGAATGAGACACACGAAGCATACTGGTGTCTCTAAAAAGGTGAAAAAACTGAATTCTAATGGTACATATGTCTCAAGTCATACTAAAGGGCAATATGGTCTTTTCACCCCTCGTTTAACACCGTTAGACCCCAAAAGTAAAGGCAGTGTCATATTAGTCATGAAAGATATAGGTAGTGTTGAATAAGGGATTTCTGACTTTGGAAGGTCAAGGAAGGAATTCTTCATCTTAGTAGTGTCAAATAGAGAATTCTCTCATCATCTTAATGGTTGTCACTATAATTTTACCAGCGAAGAGAGAAAACAGATATAAAAATACCACATTTGCTTGCGTGGCATGCCAGCACCGCACTCCAGGTTGGATCCGAGTCAGCAGGGAGTGGCAAATGACCACGGCTGCCCCTGCCCTCTGCATACTACCCCAGCTAGGCCGCAGTCAGGTTCCTCGCCTTCTTCCTCCCTGCTCTCGCCGCTGCCGCGGCCGTCGCCGTCCTTGCCGGCCATCTCCCGCACCTCGTGAAGGTACAACGAAGCGTCGCGCTCGTCCACGGTCACCACGCACGCCTCTACCGCCTCCCGCTCACGCTCGTCCATGGGTTTGCGCGCCATCTTCAGGCCTCGTACAGCAGCTGTCACGACGAGGCCAAGGCCATCGAGGTTGGCGGCGAGCTGGACGCTTGAAAGGTCCTAAATAGCTAGGGGAGGTGAATAGCCTATTAAAAAATTTATAAAAAACACTAAAGCAACCGGTTAGATAACTAAAAGGCGTAAAGCAATTTTGCACTAGCTCTACAAGGGTTGCAAGCCACCTACCATAATTTTATTAAGATATGATCTCTATGGCACACAAAGGGGCTAAGTTGCTACTTCTACCTCTAGTGAGTTAGCAAGAACACTAACTACAACTAATTACTACTTCTAGCACTACCAAGCAATTACAACTAGTACATAAGTAAAGTAATGAATGTAAAGTGCAAGTGAGGTAGAAGGGGTATACCGAGCCGGCAAGAGATATATCAATCACAGTATGAACACCAAGATTCCTGAGAGACAATTGACACAAGAATTTTTCTCCTGAGGTTCACTTGCTTGCCGGTAAGCTTGTCCCCGTTGTGACGGCTGTTCACTTGGTGGCTCACGCGCTAATAGGCATACACGAGCCTAGCCCTACACAAGGGCGCCGTAAGAACCAACACAAATGAGGGCGCTCAACATCACGAGCAATTTACTAGAGTGGATTTTGGCGCTTCGTCAGGGGAATAAACCCAAGAACCCCTCACAAGATCACTAGAAAGTCGGCCACGAACAATCACCAACACGTGTCGAACCTCCACCGCTACTTCAAGTCGTCTAGGTGGCGGCAACCACCAAGAGTAACAAGAAAACCGCAACAACAACGATTTCTAAGTGCCACTAGATGCAATCACTCAAGCAAATGCACTTGGAATCACTCAATCTCACTTTGGATGCACAATCAAGCAAGGAGATGAGTAGGAGAGGTTTGCTTTAGCTCACAAGGAGGTATTAATGATAAAAATGCCCAAGAGAGTGAGCTAGAGCCGACCAACATCTATTTATAGAGCCCCAAAGCTCAACTAGCCGTTACCTCCACGAAGGGGTACCGGACCCTCCGTTTGGACCCTGCGTCAGGCCGTCCGGACCATCCACTATTGGTCCGGACCCTCTCCACTTTCAATCTTGTGCTGACACGTGTGAAACTAGCCGTTACAGGTGACTGGACGATGCTTTGGACCAGACTACACAGCTAGTCTGGACTAAGCTCTCAAGGTCCGGTTCACTATAACTATGAATCTCAGCGCGCCACGCGTCCACTAGATCATTGGAACTCAAACGTCTCTTTGCGCGTGCACTGACAACCAACCAGACTGGACTCCAACAGTGGCACTCTGGACCAAGGAGCACCAGGGTCCGGACGACTCCAGTAAGGTACCAGAACGCAATTTTGCATCCAAACAGAGTCTGGTTCCACCGTCCGGACCAAGCACAAGGTTCGTACCGCCCTCGCCACTTCTCACTGCGCCACATGTCTCAAGGGTCACCAACCGGACCAAGGCACCATGGTCTGGACCACCTGGTCACCAGGGTCCAGAGTCAGCACCAGTGCTGCACCCACCTAGGGTTAGGTACCGGACCGGTGAGACATGGTCCAGACCAACTCCAAGCCAGGGTCCGGACCCCTAAAACACCTCATTTTCAACTCCTTTCTTGCACCCTTGTTTCCATGTGCTAACACCAATGTGTATCACCACTTGTGCACGTATGTTAGCATTTTTCAAGGGTTAAGTTAGCACACACTAGGTCCTAATGCATATACATGAATGATATCACCTAGTAGCACTTGATAACCGCAATTACCATGATTGTTCCCTCTTCATAGTACGGCTATCTATCCTAAACCCGATCACACTCTCTATAGTGTCTTGATCGGCAAAACAAAATGATCCTTAGGTCTTATACCTTTGCCTTGATCATCTTTGTTTTTCTCTTTCTTCTTTTCCCAAGTTGGAGCACTTGATCACCATCAACTAGGCCAACTCTTTCACTTGAGTGCCTTCTAGCTCCATCACTTGGGG